TGGATCCAAGCTTCAGCTCTCGAGACCATGCCATAAGTGTCTTTCTTTGAACGGGGTTAAAACATCTTTAGAATCTTAAGCTGGAAGGAGAAATGGCTGTGGCTCAAAATTAAACAGGAGGGGTTACGCAGGAGGGGTTAAAACATGGCCATGAGTCAAAACCCAAATCGTACCCCCAGTGAATATCCCAATCCAACCACTATAGACTAAAATGGGTGGTGCACCTACCCCAAAATGGTACCATTGGTTGTGACCCACAGCCACATCTGTATAATCTTAAGCTGGAAATGAAAAATGGACTGACCCAAAAAAAAGACATCCATCCTCCGGCTTCTTCTTTTTTACGTCAATTCCCCAGGTTCATTCCAACTCATTGCACCGATCGCAAGGGACTTTGGCACCAGCAAGCTGTCAAGGTGGTTTCGCTCTCGGAAACCCGGAGTCTTTGCCTCGATCTCCTTGAGTTGCAGTCCGTCTGATTCAACAGGACCTTTGTCTCGTAAACGCCAAGAAAATACCAAAGGCCGGGTCAAAACCGAGGGACATGAACTTGGGTGCTCGTTTTAAGCAGACCCCCGGCTTTGGATTCTTCTCCTTTTGGCTTCTCTTTCAACCAACCAACAAAAATGGTCCCAACTGAAACAAAGACGAGGCAATTTTTCGCGCAGATCGGTCACAGGTTCTCGGAGACCGAGACCCGAGGCCTCGGGAAAGCGGATGCAGATGGCGAGGAAGAGGTTGCCGAAGTTGAAGGGGTCCTCGAAGTCGACCGGAACTCCGTGTCCAGCCCCAAAAAATTGGAGGCGTTTTGAATTTCGCCTTGCGGGACCACGGAATCTCCCCACCCGGTTTTTGAAGGAAAAAAAAACGCCCCGCCCAACAAATCGTTTGGATCTGGTGCAACCCTGGGCATAAACCACTGAACCACTTCTTGCACGGGAATCCACAAGGACTGACCAATACAGGGAGTCTTTGGTGCATCCAATTCTGTCCTCAGATCCCCGCTAGAATTGCATAGCTGTTCGTGGGTCAAATTCAAAAACCCAACCACTGAACACTAAACAAATCTAAAACAAGCTAAGGACCCGGATGGCTGGGCTTGCCACCCAGAATTCTTGACCCTTCCCCCCAGGGGCGGAGTTCCAAAAAAGCGCTTCAGGCCCCGCTTCCCCGCTTCCGGTGCTTCGCCTGGTGGATTGGCATCCCGCTGCCTTTCACCCCCAGCAGCGTGGGCCCCAGCTTTGGAATCACCTGCCAGGGCGTTGGAAGTTGTTCGTCTTGACAGGGGTCACGAAGGAATTTATTTCCCCATCAAAAGTTGCAATAAACCGGTGGGTTCTCTTGAAACTGCCACTTTTGGATCCAGTTTTGCACCTTCTTCTGGATCACCAGATGAAATTTGAGCGGAGTTTGGGCCTCAAGATGTCAGGCAAAGGCTGGCGCTGAAATGATGAATCCCAATATGCGGGCAGCTTGATGCTTGCAGCTAGGCTTGATGTGAAATTGATCTAGTTGTGGGTGTGTGTGTGTGTTTCCTCAGATACTTCCATTTGGTTGGTAAAAGAAACCAACGCGACACAATTGTGGGTGGCGCCGGTCCTTGTGCTTGGCGCGCCGGACACAAACACACTCAGTCCATCCCGTGTACGTCTCCCAATACGCAGTCTGTGTAGGCTAAAACAACTTTAGTTATGTTATGAGGTCTTGTCAAATTTGGTTCGGACTTATTTAACCCCTTATACTTGATGGCCGAACAGCTTGCGTGCTTGAGGTAGTGGGTGACAGCACACCGAATGTGCCGAGCCTCTACATCTCCGTGATTCGAACAAGCTACATCTATGTGTTGCATTCCCTGTGTCACTGCTGTCCAGCTTGCAAAGGACAAGTGAGTCACAATCAAAACGCGGTATTAAAATGGTCTACCCAGAACCATGTAAAGAAAAAAGAAGGCGGCCGCAACTATTTCTGGCTGGGACTGCTCTTACTAACCTTCATCAAGTGCACATGGAAAGAGAGGGCTCCCACCTTGCTTTGCCAAATCGACAGCCAGCCAATGATGGTTCACTAACCTGTTGAGAAATGAAAGGTTGGGCAATCCCCTTGTTGCTTCCGTTTGGAAGAGTTCAATCCTGAGAATTGAGCACCAAAAGCAATTCAAGGGAAGGATTACTTTGCAGAGCGAAACGTCACTGTGTCCGAAGATTAGAAACAGAACCGCATTTCAAGCCTTAGGGCGGAAAAGCAAAAGGCAAACCGACTGGCAAGCCAAAGGGAAAGCGACCGACTGCTCGTGGCCGCTTTTCCCCGGCGCACGTCCGACTTCCGACTTGGAACCACCGCCATTCGGCGGGTGTCGATCTCCGAGCTCTGACCTGCGCAGGTGGGGGAAGCGCGAAGAAAACCTGCGAAAGGGCTGCCTAAAGACCACCACCAAACGTATTGGCTTCCTTTCTTTAAGGGCCCGTTCCCCATATTGAGGCATACCCCAGGTTTGTTGTCATTATATATATATATATGAAATCATTTAAATATACATAGGCTATGAGTCAGAAAAAGGGAACCACCTCAAAAGCGGGTGGTGGACATGAATCACCGCCGAATATTGATGCCCACCACAGGGTCCCCAATTAAATAGCCTGATATAATATGTATATATATATATATGTCAATGTATATATATATATATTGTCATATACTACAAGCTTGATACCCACAGAGTCTGTACTCAATTTGTGACCAGAAGGGTAATGGGGGACTCGAAGTACACCAGACTAGCCTCGTCCAGGGAATCCGAACAGATTAAGGGCACGGTGTGATTGACTAAAATAGGATTCACTCCCCCTACACGGTAACGAGCAAGTAAAAATAGAGGCAGGAAGCCGATTGAACGAGATGCGCAATGCACGGCATCTGATCAAGTGGAGAAAAGCTTGAAGCTCCAAGAGCAAACCTGAAAAATGCAGGGCCTCAGGCAAGCAATGCATGGGCATGTCTTTTTGAGGAATCGCACCCAAAATGGCTCCGATTCCTTTTGCTTTCCCTTTAAGCCCAACCAAACAATGGGTACCCGCAAAACAACACACCCACATTGTCACACGCAAGTAATCAAGCTTTGGCTACCTGCTAGCATCCCACAGGTTCCATTCTATTCTTTCAGCTCGCAACTCAAAGTTGTTGCATGCCACGCATGGGACATCGGCAATAACCCCGTTCACAGTCATGGAAGTTCTGCGGGTTTCCCCAAAAGCAAAGTTGACTTCCAAAACATTCCTAAGCTTCCATAGCTTGCCATCGGTGCGATAGGGAGGGAATGAGTTGGAATGAACCTAGGGATTCCCCTGAAAGCCAAAGAGGGGATGGTTTTGGGGCTCATGCCATTTCTCATTCCCTACTGAGCTATAATATATATATATATATGTATATATATATATATATATGTTTGGAGGCGGGGTAGCGCCAGACTCCGAAACTGGAGTTCCGGGTGCCCCCCGCTCCACCCGAAAGCTGCCACGCCACCCGTCAGCGGATCTCCATCTCCAGGCCGTCCGGTGACCTGCAGGTCACGGGCTCGGGGAGGTTTGGGGAGGGGAACAGCGAGTTGTCGACACAAGAGATTCTCGGTTGCTGTCGGCTCCCCTGCTAAAAGTGACTAACTTTTAGTGGTGAAGTTCGGAAAACCCACGAGTTGGCAAAATGTTAAAGTCAACTAACATCCCTTGGCAAAATGCGCCAAAGGCTTGTCTCGGTGCAAGGTCAGGCGCTTTTTGGCAGGCTGCTGGACCCGGCTCTCGCGCTGGCGCGGCAGTACCATGGGCCTTTCTTGGTATGTTGCTTATGCGAACACACAATTTGCCTTTTGGAGGAGTCTAACTGGTCTTTACCATAAGTCTCTTTTGGGGAATACAGATGGCCCTGGAAGATTCTGAAAGAACCAGGTCAACCAAGAATCGCCATCTATTTTCTACCAAAACTCTCAAAAAGGACAGCTATGGTTTGGACACGCAGCCTAACATGAAGCCACCCGAGCTCAAACTCCGGCCTTGCGCTCGGCTTGCGCCGTTGCAACCTCACATCAAACCCACGGGAGGGGTCATCCAGCCAATGCGGTGCATCTCGGTGCCTTCTACGAGTGGTGCCTTGGAACCTGGTTGAGAAGGGACTGCTCTAAATATCAGCGGGTGATGTTCAGCTGTGAAACTCCTAAGCATCAGGTCAGGAAAGGATGCTGATGCAAACCCTGCCGCGCCAATGGAAGCAAAAGGGGCCCGGTGGGCAATCTGACGACATGTGGAATGCACTGGGATCAACGTCAGGGTTGAGGTGCCTCTTGAGTTCTGGAGTGCGTTTGTAAGGGTTCCTTCAACCATACGTTTTAGCCGAAGCAAAAGCCACCTTTACCACCAGTTGAACCATGTTCTGAGAATACTGTCATGGGAAAGGAGAGACACTTTTTGTTGTGGACAGGGGTCTCAGCTCATGCCGAAATAGAGGGGCCAGTTGCATTGCTCCAACACTCCTGGGGGTAAAAAATGAGCCGTTACTTGCGGCACAGACTGGCGACCGTTTTTTGAGTGCAGACTGATCAAGGCACCCTTCGCCCTTGAAGCATCGCTTGAAAATTTAAGTCTCCTTTAATCAGGTCAGGTCCCCTCAAACAATTCTCTCAACCAGGCTACAGTGGATGCCCCATTCATACTGCAAGCAACAAGGACCAACTGTTATCCACTCACACAGGCCAAACAAAGTCCAACCTTTTTGTTTGCCACTAGAATGCTCCAAACCCCCAACAGCGGCTCAAGTCCAACTCAGCAGCTGAGTTTACCGTCATCCGGCTTTCTGGGTGAATCATACTATTTCACCAGCCTGAAACAAGGAGGTTGGAGGGATATTCCCCACATAAACCACCATTTGTTTTTTTGTTCGTGAGAGGTCGTCATCATTCGCCCTCACTGATGGTTTTCTGGTTGGTTCGCTCGTCGCATCGGCTGCGACCAGGCGGCAGGCACAAGACGCCGAGGCCGCACGCTGCAGCGCCGGCCCCCAGCAACAAGTGGGTCGGGTCATAGGAAGCCGCCTGGCGGTTTGGTGGCCCGGTAGTTCGGTGCTTGGACGAGAAATCCCATTTCCCTATGGTGGCCCGGTGGTTTGGTGGGTGGGTGGGGGTGGTTGGCAGGTAAATCCCATTTACTCCCTATAAGAGCCAGGGGTGCAAATCCAAATCCAAGCCAATCCGGTGGTTTGGTGGTTGGGTGGGAAATCCCAGTGACCCCCTATACAAAACAAGGGGTTCAAATCCAAATCCAAACCATGAAGGGGAAGGCTGAGCATTTCCTTAAGATTTTGAACAGAATTCGGGAGTCAAGCACACCTGGCTTGCATCAAAATAAATTCTGGCTCAACCAAACTCAGGAACTCCTACTCGTGCATGCTTCGTGCGCGACAGCAAAGTAACTCAATCAATTCGGCGTGACGGCTTGCCTCAGCATGCTTAGCCTTGATGGGGTGGGTGGGTTTTTGAACCGTTGGTTGCATTTCTCTGCTTTTAAAAACCCACCCCTCATGAGGGACGGCTCTCAAAACGAGATGTTGCTTCATGGCGGGGTGCTGCGAAGTGGTCCACCGTCCAAGAGGAATCCTTGTCACTTTCAGGCGGAGACCACGAGTTCTTTCGCTTCGCCAGCCCCAGTGGATGCATTTACCTGGGTTTTGTAGGCAACCAAAGACTTGCCACACTGTCAAAACCACAGGAAAATAGCTGGTTGCCTACAAGAGCAACTGAGATCCACTGGGATCTGCAAGACGCTACATGTTTGAGCCCAACGAAATACAAAAGGCCGTCAAACGAAAGACACGACTCGGTTTAAACGGAATCGGCTGAAAGCCAAAGTCGATCTGAAGGTATTTACACTTTAAAGGGAACCCAGGTCTGGTTCTTGAAACACGTTGCTCAACCCTGAGCCCCTGGTCCTTCACAGGAACCACCAAACAGTTCTGAAACTTGGTCAATATTGGTCAATACCGACCAAACCTGAAGGTCTTAGCTAGTTTCAGATTGCCCAAAAGTCCGAAACCAGGCAAGCCCCTCTATTTTTGGAACCACACCAACCAAAACTGGGTAAAACTGAGTAAAACTGAAAAAACCTTGTTAAAAAAACTGGGAAAAAACTGGGGGCACCTATGGACACTGATGGAGGCACTCAGCAGTTGGAGAGACCAGCGACCAACCAACGGCGCCGGCGCCGGCGCCGGCGCCTGCGGCGCCGGAAGCTCTGGGCTGGGGCGCCCGGTGAGCGAGCGCCGGGCTCCGGTCCCTTCGGCCCCGGAGCAGGGCCTGCGAGAGGCAAATTGTGGGGGTGGGGGTTGTGGGGGGGGTTGTGGGGATGGTAAGGGGGAGTTGTGGAAGGGGGGTTGTGGAAAGGGGTTGTGGGGAGGGGTTGTGGGCGGGGGTTGTGGGGGGTGGGGGTTTGTGGGGGGATTCCCTCTCAGCCAAGGGTTCAAATCCAAGTCAAAGCCACCAAGCCGAACCACCAACCTGACAGGTTACCTGATGACCTGATCAAAGGCAGTTGGGCGAAGCATTTTGACGGAAACCAACGCTCTGAGTGTTTTTCTGGGGGGATCCTGCCAGCGTGATTGGCCGCTCCGTTTTGGTAAAACTTAATGGGAAACCAAAAGGAAAACCACAATGGAGAGGTCCCCTAACAACAACCTTACCCGTTTCGAGGTATCGATGCTTATCAACCAATTGGCTAATAGCCTCCTTATACCTCCAAAACCCACTCCTGACTATGCCCTTGAAAATGCAAATTGACCTCTTCCAGTTGAAGGGTAACCTTGGCCCAACTAAGCTACCCTCCCACCAGCAATTTCTTCTAAAAGAACTGACTTTGGCGCTAGCCGTGGTGTCTCGGTCGTTGGTTCCCTCAGCAATCCTTTGGTCATGACAATAGTCCTCAGGTCGAATTTTCAACAGAAACCGCCAGGGCCCTGCTATCTGCGCGATTTCCGGCCGAAGGCTAACCCCATGAGTTTGTTTCTTTCTCAAAGTTGCACACAACAGGTAGGTTTTAAAGGAAACTGATCTGTACGTTCCGCCAAACGTGTTCTTTCCATACACCCGCTCGTTCTTTGGCAAACAAAAAAGCTTCATTTCGTCCATCTTGAGCATGGATCTTTCTCCTTGGTGCCCAAAAGTGGAGTGAGGCAGCCTTCACGTGGGTATCGAATGATTCTGTGCCAAGCTGATTCGAAGGTGGAAAGTAGGCCACGCCGGAGGTCCAATGACTCCCGCCTGTTCATCGGCCAAGGAACCGAGTCCTCGAAATGGACTGACTGGCCGCCTCGCATGACGGGTCAAGAAAAAGCAACCTGCTCAAAGGGAGCCAAGCCCACGCGCATGTTGGGTCGTAGCTTCTAAGTCATGTTGGTCCTAGTTCTCACTCATGTTGGTCGTAGTTACAAAACCTGGCCAAACCATTGTTCATTTTGGTCCTCTTAGGCAACCACAATCAAATTAAACCAATCAAACATGTTTGCGGGACCGATGTAGAACGAACGAAGACCTAGGACCGAAACGATCAGAAGCTCGGACGGAAACGATCACGGGCCGATCCCGGAAACCAGGACCGAAACGAGTACGAATCGAAATCTAGGACTGAAACGATGCCGCGCCCTCTCGGGACAGCCGCTAGGAATACATTCATCTATCACCCACAGGTGTGCTGGTTCTGGGGACACACACACACACATCACTTGGCTCGTGTGTCTTGAGATCCCAAGTGTCGGATTCCGAATCGCACGTCTTCGAGCACGGGTCCTGACTTGTACCTGGCTCGCATGTATTTGCGCAAGCGTCCGACGCGTCCGATAGAGGCAAAGCAGTCTCAGTAGTATGCCATTGAGTGGAATCAGGAGCCACAAAAACGAAGCAAAAAGCTTTGCATCATCCAGTTTCCAGGCCATCTTGGGGCCGTTTTTACCCATTCCTTTCCCACTCGAAAAAGTGACCCAAGTGAGCGACCCCTGCCTAGCCATTGCTGCACCGCCTCCGCAAGTCCGGCGCCGTCCTCCGGCACCTGACCGACCGGGCTGATGACCCACGGTGGCCGAATGCCTGTGTTGGTCTTTGACGGAGAGGATCAGCGTATCAGGAAGCAGCGTTGATTTGTTCGTTTGTGCGCGCGCGCTTGCGTGTTTGAGTGTGTTTGTTTGTGTGTTTGTGTGTGTTTGTGATTGTGCGGGTCTGTGGGTCTCTTTTGTTGGTGGTCTGCAAGTCTCCTAAGTCTTTGGGTCTATGTATCTACGCGTCTGTCTCTCTCTCTCTCTTGTTGGTGGTTTGTTACATTTGCTAGATGTTGTGTTTGCTTTGCCTGTACTACTCGAAAACTCCACACTGGCTTGTCCTTTGCTCTGCAGGTACTTAGTACTGCAGTTCGTACTTCAGAATGCAGCTCTTCGACATGTTGATGTGCTTGTGCCACTAAGATCTCAGTACCACCGTGCAAGATGTTGGGACCGCAAACAACTTTGGCCCGGTAGGCAGGGTGTCTTTTACCACCCCAATGTGACACAAACGCAAGGGGTTTGTGAGCAGCAATGTCCTAGTAAAGCAGGCTTGAGGCAGCAGATGACAGTCTTCAAACAGTGCTTTCATGTGATCTCATTATTTCCTTAACAGCAATGCCACCGGCAAAGAATTCCAAGTGGGCCGTTGACGAGAGCAGCTCTTGCTTGTAAAAGGCAGGCGCGACCTTCGGAATCTGGTGAACAGTCTTCTGCGTGCTACTTGGGACATGCAACATGGAACCCCAGAAATTGGGCCCAAAATGCGAAATTGTTTCCACTTGCCGTCTGCAGATTCCAAAAGGGCTACCCTCAACCAAAGAACGCAACGTGCTGGCTGCCATGCACTGCCTTTGTCGGTGACAAATGCTGGGCCCGTCCCTGTCAAGACACTCCACAGCCCGTGGAATAAAACATAAGCGACATGGCGAGAGGAATCAGTTCCGCCTTCGGGAGACAATTCATTCGGGGATTTGCGGCGTTGGTCGAAGCCCTTGATGATCGATGGGAGGCAACTTGCAAGCCAGCCAAAAGTTCACTGTTAACTAGCCAATCTGCATTACTCTAGGGGTTGATTCCCCATTCTTTTCGACCATCGCTCTTTTCAAAGACCAGCTGTTTTCCCAGGGTTTGGGGTGGTTTTCTAGAATGATTCGGATCCCTGGGTTCAGAATGGAATCGGAAGCTACCCGTAGAATTACCAGGCCAGGACCCCAACAGGGTCGATGCGTTCCTAAGCCCTTTCATTCGCCTGCCAGTGAGGATCAGTCCAGCGGCCCCAGGTCAAGGTATGGTCCTGAGCTGTTCAAGGCAATCGTGCTGCGTGGGCCAAGTACTTGGTAGACGCAGGCGAGAAGAAAAAAAACGCCTTGGTCAGCGGTTTGGTCGGATAAAACCCGAGGAAAAGGTGGATAAACTCGGATAAACCACCTACCAACTGGCGCAGGATGGTGTCCGTGCCCAACGACCCCAATGTGAGAAAACTGTGATTGTGCTACCCACTTAAGTAGCCAATCGCTCCCTTCAGGGACATGGAGAGATCCCCTCGCGCTTGGTGCCCTGCACTGAAGCTCGATCCCCCACCCCTCCACCCCTACCTCGCCTTTTGCCCACATGTTGTTGTAAATTATTTAAATTATGGTCCGATCTTTCGTGAGGCTCCTAAACATGATTTCAAAAGCTCCCCGCCTGTTCTCCTTCAGCACCTCTTTTCCGGGATTCCACGTTTGATTCCCTGCAAGGCAGACTCCCGGGTTCTTGATTTCAAAAGGAGCAGCCCTAGGTTTAGGTTTGCCTTGGCCTCAATCGCCCTAAGGACCCGGAAATAGAGGTTAAGCTTTTGGGACCTATCCGAAAAGTAGAAAGGGAAATCCAGAAGGTTAAAAGGTCGAGTCGCTTTGGGCAACTGAGAGCGGGTACTTGGTGGGTACGTCTTGGCATGGGCCCCCTACCAGGGTTGCTGGCCATTTAGCGATCCAAGTAACTGTCCGCAGAGGATTGTTTTATAACTTTTAGTGAGTTAGATTAAAATTAAAACCCAAAACACCTACCAAACCAAAAACACCTAAAACCCCTAAGGGACCCGGATGGCTGAGAACCTCCAAGAGCCAAACATGGGCTCAGAATTCCTCCCGCTGGGCTTGGGGCCGGAGCCGAATCGGTGGGGCAGGTGGTTCAGCGTCTACAAAAGCCAGGAATTCAAAGCCAGGAAGTAATTACGAGCCTCATTCACCCTCTACAAAAGCCAGGGCTTCCAATGCAAATCCAGTTCCCGCCAATCCAAACCCACCTGACGGCCTGACGAAGAACCTGCCGGAGGGACTGCTTCCCGAGGCGCCACGCAGGCGACGGCCCAGAGGCCATTGCCCGGGCGCTTCGCCAAGGGCCGCCAGGCCGCGGCGTGCGCCGAGCGCAGCTCCTCGAAGCGCGCCATCTCCTCGCCGAGGAAACGCGCAGGTCGGTTGGGACGCATCGACCGAATCCAAACCCGGGACCGGGCTGAGTGGATGACCCCAAGAAAGTCCAAATCACTTGTTGAGTGGATGACCCCAGAAAAGACAAGCTTTAGACTTACCACTAAAACGGGCTTCCCGAAAAGTTTAAAGTTCATGAACTCAGCAAGTGAGAATGGTCGACCCAGAAACATGAAAGAATTAGGCGGCCGCAGCTATTTATGGCCAGGATCGTCCCTTACTACCCTTCACTTACCCGGGTTTTTGATTGCGGCTCAAAATGGTGCACTCCCTCCCACCCAATTTTACATGGAAGCCGTTCGGGACATGGCCCCTTTAAAGGGAGAATGGTCAAAACCAGGACCGATTCCCGAACGTCAGGTTTTGTGTGAACAGGGTGGGAAGCTAGTCCTTCTGGTGGCAACCCTGCAAAAGCGGTGGCGAGCCGCAAAATAGGGGACTTGGACACCAAAGAGTACTCCACAAGTCCCGTTGAAACATTGCGGTGGCTCCCCAAAATAAGGATTTGCCCCCGTGGTAGTCTTTGGGATCGCCCAGAACAAGAAAAAGGACAAGTGTGCCATCCAACAAAAACACACACTCACACCATTAAACAAATGTTAAACAGCCCTCCTCTTTCTGGCCATTAAACTGGCCCAGGGTCTGGTTGTTTTAACGCATTTTGCAAAAGACCAAAACAGGCATGGGCGGCCGTTCAGGGTTCACGTGAATTGCCAGACTGATTGGCGCGGCGCTGGGCTTGGGTATTTGCGCTTGTGTCAAAATGAGGATTTGGAGCCCTAAAATGGTTTTCGGGTTGATCTCTGTTTCAAGAAGGGATCAAACTTGGATTTCCCGATTTTCCCCGCCAAAGCCGTGATCGAATTGCCCATCCACAAACTTGGGCCGAAACGGAGCCGTTGAAGCGGATCGATTCCATCCTCAAAGGTCGAGGTGATCTACGCCCAGCAAGGCAGGCGGCAAAGGGAATGCTACGGTTTTGACCCAAGGGGATGGAGCTCCGTTCTGCCAAACCATTTTTATATGGCCATGGGTCAAAATCCAAATCGGTTAGCCCCAGGGAACATCCCAAGCCAACAACTAAAATAGGTTCTAAAATGGGTGGTGCACCTACCCCAAAATGGTACCATTGGTTTTGACCCACAGCCATATGCTCCTTTTGGGGGGCTACTTTGAGAAGCGGGCAAAGGAATCTGCAAAGAGAGAAAGTTTCTGAGCCAGTGTCAGCCAAACTCAAGGATGCAAAGCTGTGGGTAGATGTCGAATCAGAATTATTGCCATCTGGAGGGGGCCAGCCGGGGCCAGCATCCAATCACACACAATCAGAAACGCTTTGGTTCTGCCAGGATTGCGATTCCGTTCCATGGGGCTGGCTCTGCAAGGGAGAGGTTGGACCCTAAACCTGTGACACTAAAACATCACAGTTGCTCTGATACTCAACCCCATGAAAGATGCTCTCGGCGTTTCGACGTGCAGCTTCGTTTGTTGCCTTGTTGCCTTCTTGCTGTTACGGCGAAGTCAAGTACCACGTGCAAGTTGTTCATGGCTGACCCAGTCCTCGAGTGGCTGGCCGCTTGCACGGGCCTCTTTTCTCGCCTCTACGGCAAATCGGGAATATAATTAATCAACCTGAAATAAGGAACCTCCTTCCCCTCAAAACCAAGGAAACAAAACTGAGATAAGGAACCTCCTCCACCCCCGCCAAAAAACGAAACAACACGAAAATTAGGAACCTCCTCCACCCCCTCATTCAACAAGGCTGAAATCAGGAACCTCCCCCACCCCCAACAAAAAAATCCGCAACAAAAGAACTCCGGCAAAGGTGTGTCGCAAAACTCGAAGCCCTGAAGCCAAATCCCGTCCTGGGCATCGCAGCTGCGTTGGTAGCGCCCATCGGGGCTGCAGTCCAGGCGCAAGGTGTACTGCAGCTCTGAGGAGTCATACAAGCTGTTGGCCAGGAAGGTCCTCACAGAAGTGGCCGCAAGACTTGCGCTTGCAACGGGACTTTGGTCTCTTGGGTGCAACTTGTTGCACAAAGCCAGGGACTGTGTGATTTGTTGCACGGACAGGACTTTGATGTTGTGACTTGTTGCACTGGACCAGGGACTTGGTGTTGTGTTGTGCAACTTGTTGCGCGACACACCAGGGACTTTGATGTTGGCGAAGCAACTCCTTGCCCAAAATGGTGAAGACGTCCCACGGAACAAAGCTTTGGCGAATTGCTTCCTGCCAAGGAAGAAAACCTGACTGCTTCTTGGAAGTGACGTGTGTACCATCTGCAACACAAGATGTTCCTTGAGGCTCCCCGTTTGGTCTCTTCGCTTCCGGTTCATCTCTGACAGGTGTTTACTTGAAGGTTCATCAACCTGAAGCCCTGGCTGCCTCTCTGGCTGCCGCTTCTGCGCCCCCTCCCCCCCTCCAGCCCCCCCCGGAAAGCGGGGAAAAAAAAAAACGGGAGCAAAGCATGCCGGATGAATCGATGAAGAAAGTGGTGGAGCTCGGCTCTTCAGTCTCCGTCAAGCTGAAGTTGTCTTCGCAACATCCCAACTTGAGTCGCTGGAACCAGCGACTAGACCTCCAGGCGCTGCAGAAGTGCTTCTCAAGGTCAATAAATCGATTCGGCGACTCATGTCACGCTCAATGACACGGGAGATCGCACTTTGAGGGTGTCGTTTTTTAGTGGTTTCAAAGGGACACCAAAAGGAACACCACCATTTTAGTGGGTCCCCTACAAAAAGACACACCCTTTCGCGGCTTTCTGCGAAGATTACGTGCATATTGCATGGGTTTTGGCTGAGATCTCACGTAGAACTGCGCACATTGCTCTGGGTCTAAGAGTTGCGGACGGCTGATGGCAACTCGATGGCAATATGCCAAGTGGCCTTTTTGGCAAATGAATGGGTGTTGTTTTGGGGGGGCACACGGTGTGCTTACGGGAGACTAAACGGAAACTCATCGGCTGGATGCGCTCTCACTTTGAGAGGCTGCCAAATCTTCGCTTTCGTGGTTTTTGACTCACTTAAGTGGACTGGCCAAAAAAGGTCGAAAAACTTCTTGTTTGCCACTACGTCTTCCTTTAGTGGCTACCCTCACAAAACCGCCGGATGCAGCCATCCCATTTTTTCTGTCCTGGCGCTAGATGATTGTTGCGGGATCAATGGGATTAAAAGAGCGGCGAGGCTGCATTGTTCCTTTCCTGAGATCTGGCTGAGAGTTTCCACCAAGAACAACCGCAATGCATGCCTCACAAGGTACACAGCTGTACGGCACACCCGCGATTCTCGCACAAATGCGGGGGAAAATAATCGCATGGGTGTATCTTTGGTCAGGCCCCCCAACATGCTGGTTCTCCTTTTGCTTTGCCCGAAACGCTAAGACCAAAACCGACCAAAACCGGGGGGCCGCTAAGACCAAAGACAGACCCGCAGGCGCTTTTCGCTCACGGGTTCACATTCGCGAGATCCGCGCACGCCTCCTTTGCACGCTTCACCATGGTCAACTCTGATTCGCGGATCCACTTCCTGGGATCGTAGTAGCTCTTGTTGGGCTTGTCCTTCATGGTTTCTCCAGGAAATTCTGCCAGATTTTAACAAGCCTACCCACCCAAAGCCACGATTCGTCGTATCGCCTGTTCTGCTGGTTTCTTAGTCACACCAACTCCTGCAAAATCAACGGTCCGTGGGATGTACTCCTTGGATCTGTTTCGAGCTCGTTCAGGCGAATTACTCTCAAAGTGAAAATGCGAGAATGACAGAAAAGGACGATGTCATTGTCACTGTTGCATTTTTGACCTTGAACTTCCCCCCAATCAGTCTGGCGAACACATGGCACAACATCAGATGCAACTTGATTGAGTCGAATGGTTTCTGGTTCTGCACCTGCTTTTCGTTTCTTGGCTCAGGAAACAAAAACACGTCACCTCTGTCCTCCCCCTCGGGGTTGCCGATCTGGGCTTGCAAATAGCCCTCCTTGGCCTTGTAGAACTTGAGAAGGCCCTCCCAGTAGGCCCACTGCGTGTCGGTGTCCACGTTCATCTTCACGACCCCGGCGCTCAAGGCGGTGGTGATGTGATGCTTCTCTGAGCCCGAGCCACCGTGGAACACAAAGTTCCTCGGAAGCTGAGTGCGAAGCTCCGCTGAATGAAAAACAAAGACATATGGGGAACTACCATGTATATATATATATATATGAATAACATATTATATGAATAACATATTTATGGCACATTGGCTCCCAGGGACCCACCCACCCTCAGGGACTCACCCACCCTAAACCAGAAAAAGCTGAAACCACAGGGAACACGCCAAAAAAGAAGGAACAACCAGAAAAAAACAAAAACAACAAAAAGCAAGTCAAAACAACAAAATGATAAGCAAAAGAAAGCCAGGGTCCTCCAGAGAAAAAAGCAGCCAAAACCAGAAACAAAAAACAAGTCAAACAACACAGAAAACCCGGGCCTATGAGACGGATGCTGGAAGTAGCGACCAATCCTTCTGGAGGACCCTTCTCCTTTTGTTGATTTTCTTTGTTCGTTTGGCTTTTCTTCTTTCCCGTTTCTTTGTCTAAATCTGGGTGGTGGGAGAAGGCCATCCAGTGGGCAAGCATCTAAGCATCTCACCCCCGTCTTCGGGTTATGTGCCTCCCTCTTAAGAGTAAAAAACAATCGAAAGTCAGGCTTTGCAAATGCAATTTCAGTTCGACTGGTTCACAAGATCTTACCTGCAAGGTTTCAAGCAGCAAATCCCAAGGAAAATCAAATTTCAGCACATGGGTTTCCAAGTTTGAAATTGCTACACTTCAAGCTTAAGTTCGGATGTTCATTTGGAGTGCTTATCTTGAATAAGATCTTAAATACCCGTAGAAAACCCTTTCCGAGTAAGGTTGCAAGCATAATTTAGTTGGATTTATTATGTTGGATTTGCTTTTAGATATACATTATTTTCTAAGTGGGTCATGATAATTCAATCAAGCGTCTTGATTGAAATAAGAATTTGGATAGAAATTCCTTTGCAAGTAGGATTCTGACTAGAACTTAGGAATAGTTCAATTAGCACCTAGTGAGGAAAGACAAGCTGGTTGCTTCTCCGAACTAATCAAATTAGAACCTTTGACCACTATGTCAAAGGCCTCCGAAGGATCTGCTATGCATCTTCGCGGGGGTCCAGGGAAGGGGGGGGTATCATGTACATATCTATATACATATGCGCCAACTACATATGTGCATGTATATGTATCTATTTATGTGTGCACATGTTTGTACGTGTATGTGTGTTTGTATCTGTACGTGTATGTATATGCATATGTGTATGTGTCTGTGTGTAGATACATGTGTATAAATACATATATATATATACACATGACGTAATATGTGTATGTGCATGTCTACGTGTATGCCTATATGTATGTGTATGTGCATGTATACGTGTATGCCTATGTGTATGTGTATGTGTATGTGTGTAGATATGTATAAATACACGTGTTATGTGTTTCTGTATGTGTACGTGTGTGTGCCTATAGGTAGATATGTGTATAAATAGACGCAATACGTGTACGTGTATGCCTATATGTATGCATATGTATGTGTATGTGTAGACATGTGTAACAATACACGCAATACGTGCACGTGTTTGCCTACATGTATGTGTTGTGTATGTGTAGTTATGTGCATAAATACACGTAATATGTGTACGTGCATGCCTACATGTATGTGTATGTAATTCTACATATGTCAAACAACCCGTTTTGTCCGCTCAGGCGCAAGGGCCGCTCAATGTCCTTTCCGGTGGATGCCTTGATCTTCTCCTGGGCGTGCTTCTGCATGTCCTGCGCGAAAAACGGCGGCGTCTCCGCTGGGGATGTGTTTGTTCGAAACCCCCAAGCTGGGCGTGTCGTTTTTGAAGGGGGGACTCCTCTTTGTTGGATGCTCGGCCGAGAGGGAATTGAAAAGGAAGACTGTTGAGCAATTTTGGGGGTCCAAATCCTAAAAACGACATCATCTGCTCTGCCAATCCATCCAAACCACGCTTTGTTACGCGAACTCCCGCCCAAAAAAAACAAACAAACAATAAGCTCAGGTGATATCCCCAACAGAACGCGGTGCTCTTGTTTGTGCTCGGGCCCAACCGCAGCGCGGGAAGCAAACCACCGATCCAAGCCACCATCATAGCGCTCCGCCGGTTCTGCTTAGGATGCCGCTGTGCAAAGGTGCAGCCAACGGTGCCCAACCGGCGCCCGGTGCAATCTTTAACTGTTGCGGTGTGGAACCTTACCCAGAGGCCTTGCGGAACTGGTTGAACGCTGGTGGAACCCTGGTCCTGGTGGAACCCTCGGGGAACCTTACCTCAGCCCCGGACCACCCCGGAGCCTATCTGGGCTGAGACCCCAAAGCTTTCAGCTGTTGGGGGAAACATAAAGCATAAAAACATCAACAAAAACGAGAGTCTATCTTGCACACTCAAGCCCCAACGGTGGTTGCAACATAGACCTCAACTGGCCATGCGGGGTCCCTCACAACCTTTTGGCTCCATCTGTAGACTTGGGGCATAATTCGTCCGTTTCGGTTTTCTCCCCTTCACAAACCCACGAGGGAATTGTGGCATTTACTTTTACCCCCGCTGGTCTTGTTCTAAATAGGGGGCCCAAACAATTTCCTGTGGCTTGCCCTTTGAGGCACACCCCAAAACGGGTGCCCTCAAAAAGACATTTCCACATATATATATATATATATGTGTACATACACATATGCATGACTGTAGTTTTGATAGTCTTCTGTGGTGTGGGGAGGACGGGGACAAGAAAACGACCTAATCTTCCCATGTCAATATCTCTGTTCTATTTGTGCTCAAACTAGAGTCTTAAACTCGGGGACCCCCAAACACGGTGGCTTCCTTTGGTTTCCCTAGCTGATCTGAAAAGGGTATGAACTCCACAAAAAGAACACACATCAAATGAACCAACCACATCAA